TTCCACCGACGTACCAGTCCCACTTCCAGGTTCAGGATCGACAAAAAGGGACAACATTGATCCAAATGCTTGGCAGTGCAGCTCGGTCTTTCCTAAGGGTTAGTATACGGAGATGCCCTTCTAAAGCAACTAAGATGGCCTGTTCGGGTCTAAAGATACACCTTTCTGGACTGCGATGGGTCCATGATGGTCTAATAAGTCATCGTCCCATTGCTCCCTATCAAATCGTCTATTGATACCGAGCAGAGCCGATGGCCTCCTTTCTGAGAGCTTGGAGATCGGATGAAGTTCTCAATAATCTGTTCGAACAGGCGTGGTCGATAAGCATCAATGGCCACTGAGTTGGCCCCTTCACTGCCAGCGGTGTGCTTCTTACCAGGGCCGGATCATTGTCCCAAAAAGTAGAGGCGGGATGTCCATCAACATCACTACCCCAAACCTCACCAAACTGGGGAGTGCTGGGTCCCCAATCCCCGGAACACTTTGGAGAGGCTGGCTCCCCGAACCACCCTGCTGCCAAGGCTCTTCTTCACGCGTGCCTCGTACATTGCCCACAGCACCTGAGCACTGGGCTACGTACGCCGCGCACTGGCGGCGCGTAGGGCTCAGGAGTGAATGAGAACATTTGCTAGGACTCCTGGCCCATATCTTCAGGTTCGGTGGTTAGACCCCCCTGGCACCCACCCCAACCACCTTCAAAGAGGGAGGTTGTTACGAGGTGGTGTTTTTCCAACATTGCTACTTTGAGAGTCCGTACTGTATCAACAAAAAAAGGCAACAATCCCAAACACCACCCATGGCACTCGCATATGCACATAATTTGCCTATACCATTGAGGTGCTTGACCCAGGGTCAATGAGGCGGCATCTCTTCGAGTATGCGTCTGGGTCGCGCCTTTCCAGGACACTGCCCAGCTTTGTAGAGTGTGCATTGACCTTCCACCCCAAGGCCCTATGCCATCACCTGAAGAGTGTGAGCATCTCTCCCTCCTGCACTTCTTCAACTGCAAATCTCCAACTTAACCGCGCTATTTACACCACCTCCCCTGGATTCCCCACTCAAATGGCCATGTAGACGATTGACATTGACTCCAAACGTCCACCCCACCCGCCACTCTACTCCCAAACCACCTGCCCATCCGAACTCGCTCACCGGCACGTTGCGCATGCCGTTGATGGTCACCTGCTCCGCGATCTTCGGGTTCCGCGCCGTCTCCACGGACAGCGGAGCCGCCAAGTTCCAAACGGTGTGCACGAAGCCTAGCGCTGCCGGAGAGGTCGACCGGGAAGGTGGCCGGGAGCACCTGGGTCGGAAAAAACAAATTATATACGAGCATAGACCCCAAACAGTTTTAAAACGAATCGTTTGGACCAAGGAAGAAGTCAAAAAACGATTTCTTGGTACGCCCTACTTTTCCCCAAGAGCAAACTGCTTTATCAATGAGTTTTGTCGGCATCGACATCGCTATTTGTTCGGCCACACTCTTCTCCAGTAAGCCGGGCCACAGAGACCAGCCACAGAGTTCAGGGGCGCGGCCAAGACAAGGGCAAGAGGAGGACCAAGGCCCGGACACAGAGCCCAGCCACAGAGTTCAGGGGCGCAGCCAAGACAAGGACAAGAGGAGGACATGGCCGGACACAGAGCCGGGCCACAAAGCCCAGCCACACAGTTCAAAGCCGCGGACAGGGAGTGTGGCCAGCTCTTTTTCTAAGATAGAACCCCAACAGTAAACTGTTTGGGGAAAAACAGAACAGGTTGCCATGGAAGCGGACAATCGGCCATGAAAGCTTCCAAAGTGGAGGTGTTTACTTTAGTGCCTATGTAAGTGAGTGGATGTTCAGTTCTGGGCACCCCGACCCTCCATTGAGCACCCCTTCAGGCCATAAGACCATTTTCCTCTACAAACCGGTGTTTTGACCACTTCCATTCCATGTTGACGGTTTTCAGAGTCAATGGCACAATCACCACCTACAGGACCTACCGTTTGCAGAGTCATTGGTACAATCCCCGGTTGCCGATTTGAAATCCATCATCTACTGCCCTTTTACTCTGCAACCTGGAACTTCCTTCCAATGAACTCATCAGTCTCCACGTGCACCGCAGCGAAGTGCACCAACACGCCACCCGCCACCGCCATCCCTCCAGTGCCGTGGGGCGGTGTCGTTGGAAGATTCGCTGCATGGTGTAGAAGTCGCGGACGTCCTTGTTGGTCTCTGCCTTTGACATCCACAGGATCCAAAGGTTTTTCAGGTTGAAAAGGGGGGAGTCTACCTAAAGGGACCGAGGCCGTTCTTTGATACATGTCAAACAAGGCAGCGGGAGCGGTTGATCTACCTTCAGAGCTTCTGAATGCAAAATGGCCTCTTTCATACAGACCATGGCCCCAGACTATAGGAGAACCAATAAGCAATCTGCCAAAAAGCGTTGACACCTTCGATTGGCCCCCAAATCCAGCATGCACCCGACTGACGGCATGCCAAATCCAGCATGCCTCAAATCCAAATCTGACACTCTCAGAAGGACAAGGCATCGCTCTCAACAGCCTACAGGCAACTGACCAAGTCCTACCCAAAACCATGAAATCACTTGAAATAGTTTGAAATCCATGGGGACTAAGGCATGACATTGTCCTTTCCCTGCAAAGAAGCTGTTTCACCTCCCAGAGTGGTTTCCAGATGCTGGTCCACACCATCCATGGTAGTGGAAGAACAGTCCCTTAAACCTCCAGACACTCGATGTAAACACGCCTTCAAAACTTCAAGTCATCACTCCAATGATTGCCGCGGTCGCCAGGTCAACTAGCCGAGGTTGCTAGGTTTGAGTTCCCCCGTTGCCAATCCTGGTTGCCAGCAAGCTGATTCTTCCGGTGGACCTCCCGTCTCTCGCGCTCCGAGCCACGTGCATCACTAAGTGCCGGATGCTCTCCGGCAGCTCTGGGGCCTTGTCCACCGCCACAATGCGCTCGCCTGGCGAAGGAGCGGGTTTGACGGGTGCGAAGGTCAGACTAAACTGACTATATATTATATATCCGAAGCACCTCCATGGGACTGGCATATGTCCATACATTGGAATGCTTGATTTCAGGGGTCAATGTAGGTAAATATGCCTGTCCCAAACAGGTCGTGTCAGAGTGTGTCAAGCTCAGATCTCAACATGTCCAGTATGCCGTGTCAAGAGTCTGAACTTCATGGAGATGTGGATCCTCTCAAGTATCTTGAACTGAGTGACCACCCAAAATATGGTCAATCCGAATCATGGTCCTGCAAAGCTCCAGGAAACCAGTGTTTGAAAGGTTCCAGCTTGTTTCAAGCAAATTGCAGTGATTTGATGGATGTTGGCACCAAGTCACCCAGTGGATCCAATTCTGCCGGCAACCGATGGTTGAACATACTAAATATATTTATTGCTATTAATATTACGATACATATATATATATATAATACACACTCTTTGTTTCCTTTTGCTGGCAACCAGGATTCTGCGCGTTCCACCCAAATACATCCAAAGAGGTCATCATGTAGACTCAGACTGTGATTCATAAACCCAACCCAATGAAGAGGTCCATCCATCAATCCATCAATCCAAGGGCGTTCTTGCTTACTCCAAGGGCGTCTTCCGCCCGCGGGACGACGCCGTTCCGCCCGGTCTACGCGCCCGGTCTACGCGCCTCGCGAGGCCAACGCGCCGATGAGGCGCTTCCCCACGGCGCCCGCGGCGCCGATGACCAGGACCGACATGGCGGTGCTGTGCCGGACCGACCGGTCTTTGTGGCGCCGGTGAGGAAGGACCGGTATGGTCGTTCGGGGGTGGGGGCCAAGTGACATGTTGGAGTCATGTGGACGTGTGTCCTTGGAATTTGGAAGATGGTGTGACCAAAATCAAAGTGTGCGTGAAACGGGTAGATAGAAGGCATATTAAGGCATGTTGTACTGCTCCAACTTCTGCTCTGCCAGCACAAAATCCACGTTGATTTTCAATCACATGCTTGAACATGAAACACCTTGTTATCTGTTCTGTTTCGCGCCAGCAGTTTTAGTTTGACAGTACATGCACCTGGTTCTTCAAAGTAACCTTGTGATCGCCTGGTTTGAAGTCACATCGGCATCTGTCAATCCATTGTCCTGTGCCGTATTGATTGTCCCATGCTATCACGTGCTGTGAGCCAACTGATGGGTGGATTCATCATGTGTATGTTGTGTTGTATTTTGAAAGCGCACTGCAGTGCACTGGTGGGTGAAAGCTCGACTGATTACTTGACATCTGCAAAAGTCCTAACCCGCTCTTTCAAACGTCTTCATCTGAAACAGAACCCAGGGTCTCAGATCCGATGGCACATTGTCCACACCCAAAGCATCACATATATGTCCCACTTACAATGGTATATAGATGGCACAAACCAAAAATGACGGTTGCATTTTTGCGCAACATAAATTAATCTTTGGGTTTGTGCCATCTACTCTTGAAACCACTGTAAACCAAACTTGGGAGTTTCACCGAAATCGGTCACGAATGACCCAGACGGACCGCAGCATGGCGCTGGCAGTCTGTCAAACCCATTGACCTACAGTATACGTGCCGCGGGAAGTTTCGTGCCCTACTTGCCAACGTTCCTTTCAAGATCGCCAAACACGACCCATGGGACTGCCGTAGATGCCGATCAGTTGGAGTGGTGCCAGGGGGGTCTATGGGGCGGCAGTCCTATGGCAGTCCCAGACGGGTCGTGTCTGAGATCATCTAAATGGTCCTGGACTCAGGGTGCATGGGATGGTGATTTCGGAGATCGCGGTGAAAAAGGGAGTGATGACAGGCGACAGCCTTGAGCCTTCCCTGCGACCAGCTAAAAAAATGGTTCGCTCTTGAGTCTAAAACCCTTAGTAAAACATAGTAAAACTAAAACTAGGAATTCAAACCATTAGAACCAATGGTGAGCCAGGAATCCTATCTCAGGAGACCACTCATCTCACCTCATCTCTCCTCTCTCTCCGCTCCATCCAAGACTCTCGTGGCGCTAGGACCTCATAGACCTGCTCCGCCTGCACGCCGCGGCACGGAGCAGCACGCCGCGGAGCTCGGCGGGTTTCACCCAGGGATCCTCGGTTGATCACTAGACCAGGACCTGACACCGTCCAAGGGGTGTCTATTTATAGCCCCAAATAGCAGCAGTCCGCGTATAGCCCCAAATAGCCGTGATTTGGGGTGTGAACCACCCCAACTGAAGACCCTGGTACAGTGGTTTTCAGCCTGGCAGGGTCCCGAAGCTCGGCGATATGGACCCCCCAAGGCCCGAGGACATCGACTCGGGTGGTGCCATTGACTCTGAAATCCGTGGATCCCCCCCTCCTCAAGGCTCCAAGGTCTCAATTCCCGTGATTTATGGTTTATATGTAGGGCTTTGTCAGAAATGGTCTTTGGGATTTGAGCCAATGAGCTCTGGGGGGGCTGTATAAATGTTTGTGATGATCTTTGGTGCCAAAGGCTTTTTTGAACAACCATTGGAGTTGATCCACTGGATAATGTCCACCTATGATTAGCCGATAAAGGCAGGGTCCCTTATTAAGTACTCTGGTTGGAATGGCATACTTATCCCATATATTTCTCCTATGCGTGGACAGCACTGCTAAGTTCTCACTTCATGCGAACGCAAAAAATGATAGACTCTCACTGACCACGATGCCATGCCTTGTTGTGCCGCAGCAGGGCCCCGTGCTCTGGATCCGCCGTCGGACGTGCCAGGAAAAGAGGCCACAGGAACCAAACCTCGCCACGTGAGGTGAACGCACGGCCCACAGCATGTGGTTTGCGCGACGAACGGCACGGCCCATGGGGTGACTTCCCAAAGCCAACAGGACCCGACCCTGAGAAGGCACGACCCAACCCTGGCGCCGCGCCGACATCAAGCGTCGAACATGGTCAAACACATCACCCTCTCTGGTTAAAGCCTGGGATACTTGGGAGACGTGGTGATGCAGTCAGTACTCTTGGGCAACTGGGATTGATGTGAAACGGATTGAAACGGATTGAATCATGTATTACACTCCCTGGAATCATCATGGGGGCAACGTGGATGGCCCCCGAGAGGATGCCCATTCTCCATGCACAAATAGTTGGGTCTTCACCAACAGAGGTTCAGTGACCGTAAATAGGACCCGTCACCTGGGGTACCTATATAGGATAGTCTACAGGGTTCTTCAACCTCTGCTGGCACTTCCATGATGCTTCCAGGGAGTGTAACAGGTAGATGAATGGGAGGCCCATCTGAGACGTGTGCAACTTTTGTATAAGGACAATTGGGGTTCTGAGGTTCAGCCCTCATTCTCATTCCAACAAAAGACCAAACATCCAGGTTGAAAGCGGACACCCTTAGTTTGGAACGAAGGTACCCCCTCAACTTCCTCAACTCACAAGAATCACTCGCACGAAAGCACCCTGGACTAGTCTTGCCCTTTGTCTAGTTCCAATCCACCCACCTGGATCAGTACGCATATACCTGGACAATCCTGGATCTTACCTGTAGGCACATTCTTCCTTCAGCACTACACCGGACGTAGCATGGTACGCCCCGAATCCAGCCCCGGCCGCTTCGCCTGGCTCGGCAGCTCCAGTTCTTCTGGCGGCGCGCCGGGGCCTGGCGAAAGCAGATCGGCTGGCGGATGATTTTACAATATCTGAGATCATGTGGATGCAATCGTACGCAGATCATGTGATGCTGCACACATATGTACAACTCATATGCACATGATGTGATGTGCATTGCTGTATACATACGCACAAAACATGATGTGATGCGCATATACATGCATGTAACTACAAGCAACCACTGATCTTGCGGGGCGTACCATATATATATATATATACATATCTCCTCTATAGAGGTCTATTAACCTCGGGTTTAATATAGGAAACATACCCTCCATACCCTCGAGTACTCCACATAGGCATTCCCGTACAGAATCTCAACCAGGTCAGGCCCCCAAGTCACTTCCTGGAATCTCCCTCGAGCCATTGAGGGCAACCTTCTTCCACCAAAATGTGCAAAGCCCCCGCCGGCCCTCGCAAGTTTAGACCAACCACATCCAACCATCCAACCATCCTTCCATCATAGTACATTCATCTCTTGGAGTTCTTCTCTTAGGGTCCAAGGAAGTCAGTCGAACCTGCCCCCGTCGAACCCCGCAGAACTCTCTCACAGCTCATGGCCTTCACCCTGACCATATCCATGCACCACCTGAACTCGCGCTGACATATCCGTGCGAGGAGGGAAGTCAGGAGCAACGTTAACTAAGGTCTTGTAACATTACAAATTGCCAGCTACAGTAGGAGCCCGCCTGAAAGGAGGCTCCAACTTGATCCACGTGACATCTTCAATACCGAAACACTCCTTTGTGGGGTGGCATATATACCTATTGACCCCTCAATCAAACCACCCCAATGTAAACTGATACATTATTATATACCCCTAATGTGGGCATATATACTTATATTTTCCTATGAGATATACCTATACATTGACCCTTATGAGGTGTGTTGGCATTGATTCGTGACTTCAGATCGCCCACCCGTCCTATAGAGGTGTGCTTGGATCTTTGCACCCAACCGCTCTACGGACGAGCGAGGTTTTTGCCACGGCCCTCTTCCCCCAACCGCTCGCCGCACCGGTGAAATCCGCCACCGGTGAAATCGCACTGAACCGTCCGTGGTTCCAAGAAGCTTTAAACAATCAGAACCACTACACCCTAGGGCTCCAACCACCTCCTGAGAAGGTGGTTGGGGTGGGTTTTGGGGGTTTAACCACCTTCTGAGGATATGGTTGGAGCCCTAGGGACATGTACATGCCAACATCACCCAACGGATGGTTTTGGGATGGAGAATGCATAGGGCGTTCCATTCAAAGCGCGCTTTGGGTGGTGCTGGTGGAGCCTCCCAACAGCTGTTCCTGTTGAGCTACAAGACAAGTCACATGTACTTTAAAGCACCTTTTAGGGGTGTGGATTCTCACAGCGCTATCGTGCTGTAGATGGTGCATTGACGGCAAGTCCTAAAGATGACACGTGGGACAGGGATTGGTTTATTTACCATTATCTACCTGCATTCACCCCTTTTCAATCACCCCTGGCCTGATCGGCAAATATGGCAGTCCCATGGAGTGTTCGGGAATGTGGCACCGGGCAACGTTCTGCTTTCTCCGGTTCTTTTTGTTCTCTGAGGCAAGCAAGCAGCCAATCAAAGTCACGGCTACTGAAGCTATAGCATGACGAAGATGATGAAGGGTCAGCCGAGCTACGCGGAAAAGGCCAGGCCAACCAAAATTGCATTGCACCTCCACAAGAGCATCTTAATAGTGGCTGTGGCAGCATAGCACCAGCACTGGTGTGAACATCAACCCCGCAAAAAAGCTGCTGAAAAGAATCAATGTCCCTGGACACCGAACAGTCAAGAGTTTTGACAGGTGACTGGTGAGTTCAGTTTCGGTTTTTGGCGCCTCACCATCCCTATAGCATCCTGGCAGCCAACAAAAAGCAACCACAACCACCGTGGTTCGGCGGCGATGCCCGATGTCGGCCGGATGCCCCATGTCTCTGACACGGGCCACTCGGTGGAGCGGAAGCAGGTCTGGGTGAGGAGACGTTCGCCTGCAGACCACATGGAATCCCCCAAAATCCACTGGGTTGGTGAAGTCTGGTCTTCTGTATACCGGTGAAGCAGCGCAGGGTTCCATGTGAATTTGCGGAGGGGGTAGTAGCTCCCTAATCACTTAAGATGACGGTGCCATATCATCTCTCATCCTTCCAACACCCCGACCACTCCCATGGCCCCCAAAAAAGAAGGTGCACACGTCAAAAACTTCATCAACTCGCTACTAGTAACACATGCATCGCTACCAGTAACTAAGGGCATTACTACTAACAAGAAACCTGCGAACGTAGTAGCGACGCACATGTGACGAACTTCATCGCCCCTTGGAGCGAACGTCGGCCAGGTCGCGTCATGGCTTGAGGGCCTCTCGACCGGCGTCGCCGGTGCTGCCGGGCGAGTCCAAACGGGGTAGTTCCGGGCGGCACGGGACCACTACCCCCGGTTTCGCCAGGTTGAGATGAGGTCCCCGTGTAAGAAAAAGCTGTGCGTCGCATCTGCAACTGTCTCCGTCTGTGTTGTGTTTGGATCATTTTCAGTGATAGTGATGTTCTTTTCGCGTGCTTCCACTGGCAGTTTTCTCGGGCAAAACATGGACGTTGGTTGAAGTATACAACTTTAAATGGCTTGGAATCCCACGAGACGTGGCTGACCTTCCATGAGTGCCGCATGAATAGGCATCCTCAGGTTCCTAAGATTTAGGCAGGTTGGCACAAAAAAAATAAAAACTTCCACTACTTCTAACTGCCATGTCGACTGTCTGAGTGAGACAAGCATCCCTAATTACGCTCCTTGCAACAGTCATAACTAGTGGACAACCCCGAGTTTCTAGAGGAAAATCGTCTTTGTCAGGGGCCATTGTCCACTTCCATGATTGTTGCGGGAAGTGTACCTTCCTCCAAACCTTGCACTTCTTCCAAACCTTCCTCCACTTTGTCCCGTTGAAAACATCCAGTTTGACCGAACCGCCTCGACAATCCATAGCAAGGACCATAGGCAACAAAGGCTGGCCTGCAGGCAAATCTGAAGCCGGCCCCAAAACTGAAACTCCCTTGAGTTAAGTAAGAGCGTCTGGGACATATAAACACGCATCAACACATACCATCTGTCTGTCTATGATTGTAGGTTCTAATGCAGTCACGCTAGTATATCATACACATGGATCATGATCTTCCTGCATCCGAGAGCGTCTAATGCGCCTGCTTTTCGTGATCGTTTTCTCCAACACACCGAGCGCGTGCTTTTCGTGTTGATCATCGTGTTTTCTCCACCACCCGATCCCACACGTGCAGAATCGAAGGAGCCCTTTTTCTGAGGGCTCCAAGCATCTTGGGCCAGGGGTGGGCCAGGGGTGGGTGGATTTGGAAAGTCTAATCACCGAACCTGAGGATATGGTTGGAGCCCTAGGGTTATATAAACCCCCTAGGGTTGGGTGGATTTGGGGGGTCTGTGCCCACCGGTCACCGGGTCGGAGATGGGCCGTTCAGAGCCCTTCCGGGGAGATACTGACACTCAAGTAGTCTCTTGCTTCGGGTTGGTGCTCCCACCCAACGTGCTCCATCCGGCATCCAGGATCCAACACCGAAACGAAACGAAGGTCGAGAGGACCCCCACTTCACCTACCACCAGTTTGCATCTCCCAACACTGAATCCCTAGGGATCCAAGTACCTTCTCAGAAGTCACCTGGAGCCTCCAAGCCCACCCCAAACACCTTCTGAGAAGGTACGACTGGATCCCTGCAGAATAACAAAAAGATACAAAAAGGAACACATGCTTTCATAGGAGGCTCTAAGGTCCACAGGGGGGCCTCTAAGGTCCACACGGTTGGCTCCAATGAATCTGACATGTGCAAGCTACAGGCATGCAACCTCATGACATGTACGCCAAGGGTGGCAGCCAATCCGCCAAGTGTAGTGGGACCACCCCATTGCCTGATGCAAATCCGCCTCGCCCATCCCTGTGACTGGTGATGGCTGATGACACTGTAGGAAACAAAAGGAAAGCACCTCAAAAACAGTTGAACTTGAATTTGCGTAAGAAACAAATTCCAGGAAGGGATTCAACCAGTTCGGGAAAATCAAGCATCGCCCAAAACTGCACAAACCAATGGAAGCTCTCTTAAGGTGGCATAGCTCGTGTTCTCTGCCACCCAGGTACTAGCCGCAGCTGAGGCCCAGCAGAATCCAGGATACTGCCACCTTAGAAGGATGGGTGCAATGGGGGTGCAGCTAGCCTCCTGATCCTTCAATTTCTCCGAACAAATAGGGTTGTAACTTAAACCTCTTCCCGTTCTTGTCCCAAATGGTTGAAGGTCAGTGCTTGAGTGGAGAACTAGCCCTCAACATGCATCAGTTCAGCCCAAGTCAAGGAAGCTTTGGGAAATCAGTTTTTCCATGCAAAACCAAGTGAGTTCGATAAAGACATTTAACAACAATTGGACCTCGTGCCGCACCCGTTGCCCAACGGCGAAGCCGAAGCCGTTTTCCGATGGCGAAGGATCCGATGCGCTTAGCCCGGTAAGAACTCACCGGAATGAGTATACAGGTACTTACAGTACAAAAGAAGGAATAGCGAAGCCATTATACCAATGATAGCGAACCCTCAGCCCCCTTGGGCCATGTTTCTAGATGCCTCGAGATGTTTGGAGTATGACACTTTGGTGATTTAACCAAGGGTTCAGAGGTTCGATGGCACAAGGGCCCCCAAGGTCGGTGGTTTAGTGGTGAACCCCCCATCTGTCTAGGACAGGGGTCTGACAGGGGTGCCAGTGCCATCTGAAACCACTGTAATCCATATAGACTGGGGATCCAAAATGGCATTTCCCTACCTGGACCCTCCGTTTGTCGGGGTGTCCTGGCTGGACTACCCCACACTACCTACCGGCATAGGCTTCCAGACAGGGCACCCCGAAAACGGAGGGTCCTGGTAGTCAACACCTCCCAGTTCTCTGGACCGAACTTCTTCCTCCACGCTGACCCAACCCCTGCCGACATGGTCCGTCAACCAACCATCCCCTTCCAAGGGATATCTGAACAGCCCCCATATGTCCGGATAAACTCATTTGAGCAAGAGTCTACTAAACAAAAACGGCGTGGCTCGTCCCATCCAGTGAGTGGATGTGAGCACCCCGACTTCCTCCATGGATATACCACCACGACATGTGACTGCTGGTATATATACAGTACGCAATCGGTCAAAGAATTGAGCAACCCAGCCCCAGCCCGCCATGAGAACCGTGGCAACACACGCAACGGCCCAAGGGGCTGTTGGTATTTGCTGGCGCCGTCGACGACGCGGAGCTGCTTGGAGAAGCGGTACTACTACCACCACCAGTGCCCGTGCCCGTGGCATTTCCCCACGCGCCTGAAGCAACACGTTCCCAAAAGGAAACCGGGTTCTAACCAGCCCCTGGAAATGGATGGAAATTACATGGTCAGGTGGGTCTACAATTCAACCACCCGAACTGGGTGGTGCTGGAAGTTCCAGTCACTATAATCCCTAATTACCTCCTCAAAAGATCTGACTGGAGCACCCACCAAAAAAACTCCTCAGCATATGGAGCCCTAGGAATTAGATACATAACATGGACTGACTCCAAGCGAATAAGCGAACACAAGCAGCTACATGTGTCACGGTCGCTGCGTGCGTCCGGATCTTCAAACCTTAATATCTTACTCCATCCCTAGGGATCCGGTCGTACCTTCTCAGGTTAGGTGATGTGTTCACTGTATTGTAGGTAACAGGAGTGTCCAGTCTTACTGAACCTGAGAAGGTACGAAAAACGGATCCCAAAAGGGCAAATTGGATCAAATCGGATCATCCACCTATTTCTGACCTGTTTGGCTCCAACGGCGGAGAAGAACTTCTTCGGCCGAGCTGTTTTTCAAAACCAAGCGTGACCATTTGGTAATAGTCCTAGATCTTGAAGGATGCAATACTATGAATACAGTAGCGTTTTTGTCGAGCTATTCAATCTCAAGTGGGGAAGCTAGAAAATCCCGCCAAGCTTAAAGGTGATCCATTGAACCAATGGGTCGTCTCGGTCCATTTGCTGAAAGACTTACCCCCGTCCGCCCCTCACTTCCAGTCCTCCGCATCAAAGAGTCCGGACGGGAAGTGCGTTCCAGCGGCTTCGAAGTCCGAAATCGCTTGGAATCGGTGGAAGGAACTCGTGCGAACCACCGTTTTGGTGGTTGAACATGGCGAACTCGGGGCGGTTTAGGGAGTGTCAACGAAGAGATGATGCCGAAGATATATAAATATACACACCCGGGATAATTAGCATGGAACCTGAAAATGGACCTTTGGAAGACGATGTTCTTCTACCAACCAGTGATTTTCAGGTTCCATGTTAATCTTCCAGAGTGTATCAATATGATACTTCCACTGGCAACCGGAGTTCAGACTTCCGCACCTGCACAGGCGTCAGACACTTTGGGAGCTTCAGAGGTCTTGTCTTGCAAGCAGTTAGGGCATAGGATGGGATCTTCCTTGGTGCAAAGTGTGTGAGGTGAAGCACCCAAGGTCACAAACTCACAAACATCATCTAAATGAAAAGGTCCATCTTATCTTCTAAATCGCTTCAAACAGCAGCACACTCACGGCAAAACCCATATTAACGTTGAAAATGCTTAAAGTCTTAAGTGTTCACATCTTTTGCCAAACCTCTTACAGTAGTCCACCAACCTTGCTCAACTGAGTCTGTTACTCCCCAAAGCGTGGAGTTCATGGCATGACGTGGCACACTGGAAGAAGTCTGCGTGAAGCTACCATGCCTGGCCCAGTCTCAAAGACACTCTTCGTCTCGCCAGTGGAGGAGCAAAAGACGACCGGATTGGAGTAGTCATTGTCACATAAAGGGCCTCAAGCAGGTGACGGTCTCCATCGTGGATCCACTGCCACCCTCTGAGAAGGTATATACTATAATCATTGGAGACACTGCTACGGATCCACATATCCACTGGAGACACGTTGAAGTGAGGGTCGGAGACCAAACACCTGCTTTTTTCGGAGGGACGACTGGATGTCGCACGGGCATCTGGTGGGTGATGGGACCCCGATAGTGGGAAGCGGTGGGGTTTCATTGATCAACGAATCTGGTGGGCGATGGGGCAACTAGCTGTCTGTCTTGAAGGAAGAGAAGCGGGAAAACTACGAAAGCCTCCAAATCGCAACAGGAAAGTAGAGACGACGCGCTGGATCGTTTTTTTTCATGTTTTCGCACATCGTCTAGATATTCAGCCTTCTTCTTTCAGACCTGGTCATGTCATGTCAGCTTGCGGGTCAGTTGCACATCCAAAATCCAAAAGCATCTGCAAAGGTTGCTTCCAGAACTCTATATCAGCCCTATGCATCCACCTACCTTCTCAGAAGGGTCCTGCGGATTTGAGTCTTTTCACTGAAAAGTGGTGCATTTCCTTTAAGTATCCACTTCACCTTCTTTCTTTCGTCCTTGTACTACAGGTCTTCGCGGAAAGGGGTGTACCTACATGAGACTGGTACACTGGTGGCGGGTCAAACAAATCACCCAGGGTTCTTTTGGGAAAGGGCTACCCGAAACTGATACACGGCCTGGAACTTGGGAAGTGGTGTGAAAACCACTGCTTTGGTCATAGGAAACGGGTAAATGGCCCTTAAGGGGTTCATGTTTGAATCCATGTTCAACGTCAGCTCGTCCTGTGCACCGCGTGGCGTGGGCGACTCGAGGGCCGTTCGAGACCGTCCGTTGTGGGTGTCCGCTAAGGGGACTGCTTTGGACAGGATGGGACAGTTGCGCCAAGGGACCACCTCGTTGCCCAACATCGGGACAGGCAAAAACCCCATCCGAAGAGTAGTTATATGTAGTTATATTGGTCTTCAGCTAGTCTTCAGATGTGCCGAAATACTCTAGTCTAAATAGTTCAAACTTCAGAGCGAAACGAACACAGCTCCTTTGCCGAGCCATTTCATCTCAAGGATTGCAGTCGAAGGACAAGCGCACTTCATGCAACCTTCATCATCAAAGTTGATGGACTCACACACGCCGCCCTTGCCACAAGCTTGCCCGGGCCTCAAATGTTTTGATACGCCATGAAGCCGGTCTGTGTATGTCTGCTTTTCGTCGAAGCCGGGAGCCAAACCATGTTCCCAAAGGAGTTCATGGATTCTCTGATTCGGAACTGGAACCGGAACCGGAAACTTCGGATGAAGCATGGATTCACCCATACCCATAGAGGGAAAAGGAACAGAAATAACCCTAAGCAAATACCAGGTCTGTCAATGTCCGTCATGAGTTGTGCAGTCGTTTACAAATCGCAGGCATCCACAGCATCCCAACTGGTTCCTCACGAGACCTCCAGTATATGACTATATGAGTCAACCCATTGAATATAACGTGAAATAACAATCTTTCAAGGCAAGTGGCTGGCAATACGTTTGGCACATCGTCTTGAATGCCTGGCAGCTGCTTTAGCACATCTCCCAAAAGACCACAACGGAAGAATCGTTTTTGCAAAGGAAGGCCGTCCAAATGAGGGGAGCTTTGGAGTGAACTGATCACTAGTCGTCATCATCATCATCATCATCCATCCATCCATCCATCCATCCATTAATACTATTCTTGGTCTTATTCTTATTTTTATTCTTCAATTGGAGCGGAACTTCTGGAACACCATGACCTCTCTCGTCAAAGGACACAAAGGACATGTGTGCCGCAACACATCCGCTTTCACTATGGGCCTGGAGCATTGACCTGACGCCGTGATTCCTTGAATCTTGAAAGGTGGGTCAAAAAAAAGGTGATAGATGTGGAATTATATTATATAAAATAATATATGGATATGGACGCAACGACCAATCTTATGGTTAAAGTTGCTGAAAACACATTCCGGAAGCGAAGGGCTGACCCAATCGGCGAGGTGACCCAATCGGCGATTCGTCCAAGTTTGGACCCAAGCGAGCTAAGTGGTTTGCGGGCCAAAGCGCGTGGTGTGAGCGGCCCGGCCTACCACCTGGTACGAGTACATCGAGTACTGGGCGCTTGTAACTTGTAACCCCCACTACACCATCCATAGCCGGGGTTTTTGGGCGTAAATAGCTCATGTGGCTTTGAATTCTTGGATTAAGGAACCATTAAAAATAACACACATATTGCCAGCCAGGCAGGGGGTGGACGGGGATTCACTCACCCAGTTCAGGTATAGCTCATCCACATTCATCCTTTCAAATCCACCCTTTCACATAGTCCAAGATCACGCAGGTTGGGACAGCTACGCAAAACTCACGCAAATCTGCGCCAGTCGAGACGCGATCAGACGCGACTCGCGCCTGGCTGGGAGGAAACATCTCGGTTTGACCCTTGGCGAAGTCCGCGCACGCCAGGAGCTCCGATTTGGGATAGTAGAGCCTCGTGACGTCACAGATGCTGAGGCATGAGTTGAGGCGGCGGCAAATGAGCTGTCATGGTTGAAGAATATTGAATAATCTTGCATATTAAGAATATCCATCATAGATGAAGACTGAGCTCATCTTTCAAAGGATTGAACACATGATTTGATGGCCGTTGGCAAAACGTTGAGGCATTGGAACAAGAACAGGATTGACTACAAGTCAACTGACTGTGTGGTTCTGGGGTTTTAGTTTGTTCTCCCTGCCTGCCCGGCTGAGGCTAAGGGTGACAAGTATATTGGTTGGGGTAAGTGTCCGAACAATTGTGTGATGGATGCCAAGGCACATGTTTACCACGCACATTTCATCATACCGATCCTCACCCCATTTCAGCATCGCGCTGGAGGGGTTGTCATAGGTGCAATGAAGCCTGCGCCAGGGGTGTGTCATAGTGCCAACATGTCCCACACTGATGGAAAACACCAAGGACATGACCTTCAACAGTGCGACCAAGTCAGGAAGTGCTTTGCGATTCGACACCAATTTAGACAGGTTTAAAGCATGACATGGCGATTGGGTTCTCAGTCCAAACCATTCACATCCCATGTCACAAAGAACGCGCATCAGTTCCAACCGACCTTTTGTCAAACCACCATGCACCCCACTCACCACCGGGCTGCCCTTCGCGTACCGAAAGGCCTTTGGATATACCGGGATTCCTGATTCTTTAACGTGACGACTTAGATATCCGGGTACGTTGGGTCAGGCTACATCTCTCGAAAAAGGGGCGCAACATGGCGCATCACTATTGAACAAACAAACCTAGAACCTGAATGACCGCTATATTGGACCACCAACCACCGAAAATATGGTCCAACTTCCTATCAAAACAGGGGTCATGTCTGGGTTCCAGAATACAGTAATTTGTATTGTATGTATCTGGACCTTTAAGGGGTGATCCCCCTAAGTAATGTAGGGAACACGCCAGCCAGGGCTCCAAAGAACCGAAGCAGTCAACCACCTGTCCTGTCCTGTCCTGTCAGCATCCCCAACAAAAAGAACGCATGGTTCTTTTGGAAAGTGCCCGGTTCAACTGAAAACTTCAACGAACAGCCTGGCAAAGTACCTGAAGTACCTAATGACGTGAAATAAGACTCCCGGCACATGGAAAGCACCTCAAGGTGTCTCCAGGGAGGAGCTTGTAGTTCACCTCCACGTTGGCCCCGGCATCACCTCACCGACCGCTCCATCCGCACCGACCCGAGCACGAGCGCGCCGGCCAGGCTCCAGGTGTCCGGGGGGCTGGGGACGACCTGAGCGACCTTCTGAAGCATGTCAATACGCGCAACACCAACCCCACCAGAAAACACTGGTCGGCACCAAAGTCACAAACACACAAGAGCAACAGCACCGGTGGATGCACAAGTGCCTCCAGGACTTGAGGACCGGTGTTTCATGCCATCTATGATGTGACTGACAGGTTATTTAATGGGACACATCAAAAACATCAATCTGTCATTGTTTCTAGAGACACCCACAAATCCAAATCTCCCAACTTGCCGAACAAGTCGATTCTTTGGCAAAAACAACCACCGAAACCAATCCACCCCAAACACCTAGCCAAATGGATGTGCCAAATTGGTCTACGTTCCTTCCAAACAACTTCTCACTGCCTCTAAAACAGGTAGACTTGTTGGCAGTCCAAACCTGTCACCAAATCCTTCAAACGGGCAGTAACGAACAGGTTGACTTCTCACTGCCTCCAAAGAACTCCAAATCCTTCGAACAGAACCAGAGCGACCCTCCAGTCGTCCTCACCGGATCCGCGTGTTGCTGCCGGGTTCACTGAAGGGGTCCAATCGAGCGATGTCCGGCATCTCTTGCCCCGCGCGGATCACCTGCGGACGACGAAGTCCACCGCTGACCGGTCGGGTGGAACACAGACCGAGTCAAACCGATGAACAGCATCCTCGTTCGAGTCCGACAGACTCGCCCTGGCCAATCATAGGACAACTGCTATTCCCATGCTATCCCCTATCCACTGAAATGGGTAGGGGTCTCATTCTTGTGGGAATGAACGTTGCTTCACGAACTAAGGCTCTCTGTCTTGCTCCACCCTCCCAAGGTGCGAGGCCCAAAAAGACCGCCTCACGAGGGGTAACAGAAAACGCCGTCCGGCCCGTTGGCAGCAACAGGAAGTGTACACCGGATGGGGGGTGCAACAGGGTACCACTGCAGTTGGCAGCTCAAGGGCACGACTTGAGATATCTGATCGCAACTGGCCCTGAGGCAACGACTTGAGCAGCTCCAAGAAGCTCCATCCATCTCCAAGGATGGACCATAGATATCGAGTGCAAAGCAAGGATGGGACCATAGTTTGACCAGCTCCATCCATCCATTTCAAGCTCCATCCATCCATCTCCATTTATCAAGTCGCATACTATGTACTTGTCATATGTTGTCACTTATCAAGGCGCCTGCAGCCGTATGCGACGTCCACTGGAGTGCATGTGGAAGTTCACCTCGGCAAGATGCACACGGCGCGATCGCACATCGCAGCTGCCAAGCCACAGTGAATGCCGTAGATACACCCGAGAAGATTGACAGGGAACCTTGCACATGAACTTTGGAAGACTATTTTCCTTTACAACCCAGTGGTTGTCAGGTTCAATGTTAATCTTCCAGGGCGTAATTCCAGCGAGATGGTTGGAGAATATGGAAAAAAGGTACCATGACTAATTAGCGTGATCATCACTGTGCCAGCAACCGCGGAATCTCTGCCTGCCTGTACTCTCTTCCATACTTAATCAGTGGCCTCTCTTCACATCATCAACAAATTGCCATGTCACCTCATGAGAGCAAAAGCCACGTCACCTCATGAGGATCATGTCACCTGTTTGAGGCTGTCAGGGTCAGGAACCGAGCCAAGGCCGCTCTCCACACGTGGTTTGATCCCAGGCCGCTGAGGAACGCTGGGGAGATGCTGATTCGCTCCGGTGCCGAAGAACGAAACATCAAATCCCCACCCCTAGGGCTCCAACCCAGACACTCCATGGGACTGCCATATATGCCGATCAGTTGGGGTGGTGCCAGGGGTCAATGGGGCGGCATATATGACTGACATCGAGTGTCTGGGCAAGTACATCCTCAAAGGGTATGACTGGACCATCCTGGCACCCGGTCATCCCACCTTCACCTTCGTTTCGGTGCGATCCTGGAGCCCCGCCCTTTGCACCGCCAAAGGCACGCTGGTCACGGTGATGCCGCTACTGGGCCACATGCTTTCCGTACACTTCTGCGGGCAGTAGCCGATGCTCGTGAAGCCTGGATCCCGCTGCGATGGCGTCATGGGATGCGATGATCAGTGAGAAGCCGGGGGTCCGTGCAAAGCCCACTCCTCCCCCCAAAAAATGAATCTCTCCAGCAAACAGCATATATTATGCCTGAACTATCCTGACTTGCCATACAAGATCACCGATTGTCACCAGTGCGCCTGTGGCTCCGGCAGGTATGTCGAGGTGACCCTGCAGAATGCTCAAGCGGCCCATGCTGTTGGGACGCAGGGTCGGCGTGTACCAAATGTCGTATCCTTCAGCGAAAGGCAAAAAAGAGACAAAGAAAGCATCAGCGGCCATCTCAGTGTGGGCCCTCCATTCTGAAGCCCGATCCATACCGATCCACTCAACGGAACCAATTCTACACAACATCTACCCCTGTCAGCAAAGGTCCTGTTGGTGAAGATGCCTCCCAAAGTTATGTTTATGTGCAGTAAGAGCCGATGAGCAAAGGTTTCTTGACCATCACTTCTTCCTCATCCCTGCTGTCCTGTGCCAGAGTCAATGATGCCGGCCTGGCCCTGGCGGTGTTTATGCTAGCCAGCAAACTCTCACTTGAAGGTATGTGGACAGGGTGAAACTCAAAACGGTTCCAAAGGCCTCACCACATTCGAGTCAAAATTCTGCAACATGCACACCAAGTAAACTGCTCAATTGTGTTACTTGGTCGGTTATTTTCGTGATCTGCAATAAGCTCATCCACCTCTAGAAACAACCAAATCCTTGTTCAGAAAAGGACGGACACCCTGGGTATCACCATACTTGGAAACTCTTGGGATCATTGGCAGCTACCAGGCTATGACCCTGCACTGGTGTGCTCAACAAGCGTTCCCTGGACTCCGCCAAAAGCACCGTCCGCAGCTCGGTACAAAGCAATATCTGATCTCTCCATTCGTATGACAAATTTGTACCCCCCCACCCTTTCGTATCACAAATCAGGAAGCCGTGTTAAAACTGCTGGTCCGTGCACTTTTGATGAAAGCGTTGACTTTTCATGAAACGCTTACTTTTCCAAGCCATTTGGCTTCTCAACTCCGTTGCTTGTGGGCAGCGAGCACCAGCAAGGCGCTCTCCAGAGAATCGGTCTTGTGCATGTTGTGGAGATTGGTGGATGTTTGCAGGGTGTGCGCAGGCCAAGACTCCTCATGAAGCTCCGCACCTGCCCGCATTTTGCAGCACTCACTGGCTCATTCATTAGTTCAGCTGGAACCGTGTTGCCATGGCTGAAATTCCCAATTGTCCGGTGGTGAAAGCTTGGATGGATATGCCCGTTGCGGTGGCAAGGGCGGTAGAGGGAAAGCTGGCTCATGTTCACAAGGACTCATTGGACCGCCAGTGTGTTGCAGACAACGCCGATTTCTTAGAGCCTCTCATCCGAGAATTTGGCACCTTAGCAGAATAACCTATTTGATCAAGTGTTAGAACAAAGTACGAAGTGTGTTGATCCACCGAGCTAGAAGTGAATGAGGTCAACATGCGCATGGCAACCAAACCGTTTCCCAGGTACACGGCCCAGCATCGGCCAGATGCAGGATGTGGTGGGCCGGTTCTTCTACCTTTGCCGCCCCAAGGGGAAACCAATCCCGAAAAGCAACTTGACAGCACTATGTGAGCATGCAGGCATGAGTGACAATCTTCTTTATACATGCAGCTGACCACCTCCTGTGCTCATGAAGGAGGTTTAGAAAACAAGCATGCATGGAGATTGAGGTGATGCCATCAAGACCGAAGCTTGGATCTTGCGACGCCTTGTGTCAATCTTTGGTGGTATAGCCCGCAGGCCCCATATCCCCCGTGATAAGAACCTTTGCCGCCTGTTTGAAACAATTGGCATCGATACATCAGGAACGCCTCCAGCACAATGTTACCCAGATTGCTTACACATGGTTTTTCTTTCTTTGGATTCCCGCACTTGCCAATAAAAGGAAAAGGCCAAAAAACAGTGTCTTCACGTCCTACAACCTTTCTCGAGATTAGGTTCTGGGGACGAGGGCGAACCTCTCGCTGATGGTGATGAACCTTTGGCTGATGACCCTCCGGCTGTTGGTGATGGGGATGATGATGGAGAGTGTGTGGAGTCGGAGGCCGCCTTGACCGAAGATGAGTGTGTTGAAGACCAGGACAAATCCAGCTTGTCAGTGGATCAGCATACAACAGCACCATCCTACACATTTCAATACGCATGCAGTATTTTACAAGCTTCACACCTACAGACATGATATGGTTCCAGTGGAAATTTGTGAGTGCGCAGGATCTTCGCACCAAACCTGACCCCACAGTGCCAAAGACCGTGGTAGTCAAAGACGGGGTGGCTGTGGTTTCTCCAGAGAGCTACTCTCTTGCAGCCAGCTAGGTCTTAGATAGTTTCACTTTTCTTCTTAGGGTGAGCGCCTACACACCAAGTTTACACTTCTTGCTTACGCGCCGAGATTTGTCCCCGAGCCTTGCTACTCCAGCCACATCTCCAAGTGTGGTGACGCCACCGCCTCGCACCAGCCACTTGGAATGAAAATCTGAAAGCTGGTTGACTAACGTATGTACCAAACACAAGAAGCTAGTACATATATATGGCACACTTCATGTGCTACCATGCGCTCCCAACCTAATCTAACTCAGGAGTGGAACCACCTCCAAGTGCTCCAAAGCACCATGACCCTGTGAAGTGTGGATGGATCTGCACTGCATGCCGGACTGCTTCAAGGACCAAAGAAGAGATCTTACGGACAAAATGTCCCGAAAGGCTTCAAGGGCATGATTTGGTCAGTTCCCCTGTCATGTGCAACAGGTGCTTTGCTTTGGGGGATTCCATGAAAGACCTGTCCCAAAAGCTCTGCTGGAAATCTGAACGGGTGAAAGAGGCACCAAAACCTGTTCATGATGCGCCGCCTGTGCAACGGCCAGTGCATGATGCACCGCCTGCTGATGCGCTGCCCGCCCCAAAGAAGAGTCACGTCTTTCAGGCTGAGACCGTGACCCAGCAAATCGACAAGGCGAATGCAGAGCTCAGGCGCTTGAAGCTTTTGCAAATGATGCAATGGGAACGTCAGAAATTGGCCGACCTGCTTGCCAGGAAGAACGGCAGTAGCTTCTCACCAAGTCATGTGGGGTAGGGGAGGCATGTGGTTTTGAACATGTCTGCATGCCTTACGGTTTGTCTTTGCACTGGGGTTTGTCATTGCAAGCGGCCCAAGGTATGGACAACCTGGACACTTTGCCCATGGGCGATGCAGAAGCTGACCGCCTGGCTCAACTAGAGGCGTTTGATAGCCCGCAAGAGTACCAGACCACTGACATGAACGGCAACGTTGTCACGTGCGTCATGTATCCTCTGCCAGACTGGCCTATTTACGTAAGGGAAGGGGAAGTCTTCGCGAGTGCAAAGGTTGCTTTGAAAAGGGGCTACCCTCCTGTCATTTTTTTGCCATCAGCAAAGCCATCTCATGTGACCTGTTTGCATATGTATGCTTTTCATAAGTTTACTTCATGCTATAATGTATGCATGTTATTTCTTCTTCGGCTGGGGAATCGTTTTCTTGACCTGTAGGCGACCCGGGTCCATGCACCTCCTGTGCCGGCATCATCAGGGGGAGAAGGGGGAGAAGGCTTTCGCTCGGCACGCTCAGCATCAACGCTGGTTTTGGGACAGTCCCCAAAACACGATGCTAGTGCAGAATGTGGTGAAAACCCCAATCGAGCAGCATATGTAAAGTACTGGGACAAGTTCCGTGTTGCCCCATGTGAGCAAACACTGGCCGCTGTGGCAACCAGCAAGCAGATGCCTCCACATACAAGTGCGCACGCTGACAACGCCAAAGCGTCCCACACTGCTGCAGCCCCTCCAATCCCAGCCCCCCAAGTGGATGAGCCAGCTCCTACCCCTCCCAACCTCACCGCTCCTGAGGTCAAGATCGTCAATGGGCCAGGTCAGGAATCCGTTCCTGCTGAGAGTTCACAAGGCAAGCCTCCCTTTGTACCAAAGGCCATGACTGATGAACCTTGCATGTCGCCAGAGGAACAGAACAAGACCTTAGGAACAGCAGCTCCCAAGAGGAAAGGGCGCCCTCCCAAGTCCAACAGCAAAGCTGCTGCCAAGCCGAAGGCAACCAAACCTGCATCTAAGGCCAGAGCAACACCCAAAGCAAAGGCTAAGGCCAAGGCTAAAGCACAGCCCCGGTCAAAAGCAAAGGCTACCAAGAAGACTAAGGCACCGCCATCAGAAGAAGGAGAACCCGAGGTTGATCCAAGTGCAAGTGGTAGCGGCGACAGCAACAGCAACCGAAGTGCCAAGAAAGCCAAAACAACGGCTTCACCAAGCAAGGGATCGCGCACGATTGCCAAGCCAACAAGCAAGGCTTCCCCAAGCACCAAAGACAAGAAAGCACTCCTCTCAAGGAAGTCATGCGCCTACAAAAAGGCTCGCAAGCAAGCCCTTGACGCCGGCAAATCCCCGGAGGATGCGGCAGCAGCCGGCAAGAAGGTAACTTGACAATAAGTTACAACATGACAATAAAGCGCGCGTCATTTTTGTTATTGGAGTATTTGAACAGGTTTGCACACGTTTGTAGTTTTGATTTGTAGGTGTCGCTGCGCCTGATCTCAGGCATATGCAGAGTGCAAGTGATGAGCTGATTTGCGATCCATACATGGATGCGCTGTGAGTGTGGCAACAACTAGCAGTTGAGTGGGCCTGCCAAGATCTTGTAGCAACCAGTTATCAGTTCCCAACTGATCTTTTGGTTGATCCGAGTGATTTCCTGTGTGTGTGTGGCTGGCCTTTTTCTCGGGGTGTGGGACACGTGCAATGAGCTATGGCCAACAGTGCTGCTCTAATATCACGTGTGCATATCGCATATGGCATCTAGGGTTGGAGGGTTGAAAAGGAAGCCCTGCTGCCCATGCGACTTTTTGGTTTGAAGACACTGCACTATCCCATCTTTGACCCCATGCCGGACCCTCCGGCAGCATGCAACTTGTTCTAGCCCGCGTTCCTGCCTGCAGGTGCTTCATGCCAAGGCCAGCCAATAGTGGTTGGCGAGTCCGCGCCTGCCTGAATGGTGCGCCAATCCCATCTCGGGTTAGCGCTCGATAGATTGAGTTATTGGAGGACTATTTGCAATTAGTTTTGACCCTGTGCAAAATGCATGGAGCTTGTCCATGGTCAACCAACCCAATACACGACAAAAGCTTTTTGGCTCTGAGGGTTTGCACGGGTCTTCCTATTGTTCCGGGAGAGGATGAAGCGTTCATGGGTGACCATTTTGATTCAAGCCCAGGCTCCGAAGGTTGGGTTTGGACCAGATTTCACATGTCCATGACCAGTTTAGGTTAATTGTTGAAGCCACTCGCCCTGCAGGTCTTGGTGGCAATAGTTCAGGGCTCAACAAGATGCACGGACGAATCGTGAAACCCAAAACATTGAATACTCATGCAAGCATGCGTGCATGGAACCTGCAACAGAGGTGCTCCTTCTTTCGTGGCGCACATGCCTCGATTGGGGCAAGGGCTACAACCTGGTAGAAGT